CGGCGAGGGCGAGGGGGGAGGCGAGAACCCAGACCTCGGGCGTCTCGAAAAAATCGAGACAGAGGTTTTTCGTAGTTTTTGGCCTCTCGGGGCCCTCGCCGGGCCTCGGGACCGTCAAAAAACGACCCGGGATGAAAAGCCGGCCCCAGGGAAGTGGTCGGGAGGTCGGGGGCCCGCGTCTCGAAAAAATCGAGACGTCGGATGTCTGAGAAGTCTGGACGCCCGAAATGGGGACGGAAAGAATGGGCACAAGGCCCAACAGCAGTCCTTGTTGATTCTGAGCAGGGTTCGCTGTCCACGCCGCCGCGGCCTGTGTCCATTCGAGACAGAAGGCCGCCCGCCCAACAGCGGCCGCCGTTGGTTTGGGACAACATTTGTTGTTGGGCATTGTACCCATTCTTTCCGTGCCCATTTCGGGCGTCCAGAAGGAAAGGCCCCCCCCCGACTGGGACCGGAGGGCAAGTTGGGGCCGTCGGGTCGAATTGGGGCGGTTCGGTGGGCGACTCGGCGGCAAGGGAGGGGGGGAAGTGGGAGGGAGAAGGCTCTCTCAGAAGGCGGCGGGGATTCTCAGAGGCTCTCGGGCCTATGCGGAGTGCTTTCTTTCTTCGGGGAAAATTGGAAAACTTTTCACAAAGGCCAGGGGATTTCCGAGGTACGGCGGCCCCTTCGGGTGCCCCGCGCGGCCGCCGATCGATCACCAATTGTCGGAGAAAGAAGACAGGAGCCGATTCCGCTACCCTTCCATCGTTTTGCCCCTTTGCGGGCTTCCTGGGAGGCCCTCGTCGCCACCGCTGGATTCGCCTCCAACTTCTGGTCAGAGCGCGCCCCGGGAGAGGTCCGCGGAGTAGCGGTTTTGGTGTTTTTTGGATTTCCCACCTTGTCATCGCTCGGACGTGCGCATTCTTTCTCGGCGTGGACCATCGAGGAGCACTTGACGCCCTCCTCCGACAGCGTGCACTCACGAAGTCGAAGCAGTGCATGGGGAACGGGCGTCCGAGCGATGGAGCGACGGCGAGCTACCACAGCGCTGAAAGCCTTTGGTCAGGAGGGAAAGAAACACACAGACACAATTAATCCTCGATTACCCAGAAAATATAGGAAAATATGGGAAGTGGGGGGGAAGTCAAAAACCAAGAAAATATACGAAAATGTGGGGAATGCTTTATTTGTGTGTATTCATTTGTGTGTCCTGGGGCCCCTTCATTTGGGCAGGAGCTGACGACTGCCCCGCGCGTGCGCACCAGGCAGGCCCCGCTGCTCGGAGCTCCGCGCGGCCTCCTCGGGGCGGCGCCGGGGCCCTCCCGGCGCTGCGCGCCGCGCGGCGCGCCAGGGGGAGAGGGGGGGCCCGGCGTCGATCCGAAGAGTGCACGCCCCCCTTCAGAAGTCCATGCTTGGGACAATCGGGGGCGGAAAAGAGGGGGGTGATGACTAGGGGGGGGGTGGATATCATGGCGTGGGCCATGATATTTCCCCAGATTTCATGGCGCCTCTTCGTATTTCATTGCGTCCCTGGCCCCCCCGCTGGGCCGCGCACATGCCGCTGCTCATGATTTGCACCCCCCCCTCTTGGACACCCCCCTCTTGGCCGCTCCCGAGACAAGTCGGGCATGTCCCTCTACAGAAGGAATACCCGGGTGATAGTTTACGACAGCCTGGTGACGAGTGAACAGTCGTACTCTCTGGGCTCTGTTGGACGTTCTGCCCGACTATGTGTTATTTGTCTTCCAGATTTCTCCTGCAGGAGGGCGTGCCCGACCTGATGCTTGGGACAGACGGCCTCACCCGACCTTTCTATGCGGCGTCGCCGAGACCACCCCGACCACTTGCGCGATGCCCCCGAGGCCGCACCCCCCTCCCGGCAGCTCGAGGAAGACGACGATGCACCCCCCCCATCCCGCGCTGGTGACCCCATCCCGCGCTGGTGACGACCGAGGCGCCCCCCCCATCCCGCGCTGGCGACGACACGACGATGCTGACGACGATGACGATGACGACGATGGTGAGCGTGGTTTGTTCCTCCCCGGCGTCACGCTCGCTACCTGGCCCCCACCCCCACCGCCGGGTAGCGCTCACGGTCGTGTTGGGCGGGCAGGCTTGGACACCCCCCATACGTGTTGGGGGGGCGGAGCGTGCCCACGGGCGTGGCGTGGTGTTGCAAGTCATGCCCTGGTGGTCATGAACTCGTCGTGTCGTTTGCAGCCTCCCAGCCTGTTGCGGCGCCGAGCTCGCAGGCATTGCGTGGTGCCGAGAGGCATTTTTTTCGGTGTTCGCACGCGTGGTGTGCGTGCTGCGGCGCTTGCACGCTCCTGCGGTGCGCACGGATCCGGCAGAGTCACTGGCAGGGTGCCCTTCTCGGAGGGCGGCGGCTCGTCGGGCGCACGTTGGCCCCAAGCAGGCACGCATTCGACTTTCTTGACGCGCAGGGCACGCGACGCAACATGTACGGTACAGCCAATGTCGGCACCAGTGCCAGCACTGCGCGAGGAGCACGCGCGCCTAAATGTGAGCGTTGTCTTGGGGGTTCCACATCGCCGGAGCTGTCGATCCAGTTGTGAGGCTCCTGCTGTTCCTCCTGTTGCTGCTCCTCTTGCTCCTCCTGGTGCTCCTCCCCGCGTTCCGTACTCCCCTCCCTCAACGAAGGTCGCCATGACCGTTGACAGAGGACAGGACGAGGACAGGGAGGAGGAGGAGGAGGAGGAGGAGGAGGCGTAGCAGGAGGAAGAGCAGGAGGTAGAAGAGGAGGTAATGAATGACGAGTCCTGAAGGAAGGAGGCCTCGCGATCGACTAATGTGCTCGTTGGCACGTTTGGCGTGCTGGTGTACACAGGTGTTGTGGTGCACGGAGGCATTGTGGCGTGCGTAGGCGCTGCGGTTCACATGGTTGCTTTGATGTACGCAGGCGCTGTGGTGTACACGAGCGCTCTGGCGCACGCATGCAACGAGGTGTACGCAGGCGCTGTTGCGCACACGGCAGCTACAGTTTACACACGGCAGCTGCAGTTTACACAGTACATAGACGACGTGGTGTTGCGGTGCACGCGGCTGTTGTGGTGTACGGAGGCATTGCGGCGTACACAGGCGGCGGTGGGTTGCACGCAGGCATTGGACATTGTTGTGTACGAAGGGATTGTGGTGCACACAGGCGATTGACGCGCCGGTGGCGCGGACGCACCCTGGCGGGTGCACGCCGCGGCCGCCGTTCCCGTTACCTTTCCGCCCGACCCCCCCGGGTAACGACCGCTGCCCCGGAGAGAAGAACTAATGATGGCGATGCAAGTGGCGGTGCTGCGCTGTCTGCATCGGCAGCGGCAGGACTTGGGCTCACAGCATGTGGCGGCGACCCCAGTTCTCGTCTGTCCGCCCGGCCGCTGCTTGCTCCGCGTTCCCCGCCTCGATCCGCGCGATGCCGAACAACTATTGCATGGTGCCTACTCGCAACCGTCAGAACAAGACACACTCATGTTTCGGGGGCGGAAAAGAGGGGGGTGATGACTAGGGGGGGGTGGATATCATGGCGTGGGCCATGATATTTCCTCAGATATCATGGCGCCTCCTCTTATTTCATTACGTCCCTGGCCCCCCCGCTGGGCCGCGCACGTGCCGCCAGTCATGATTTGCACCCCCCCCTCTTGGACACCCCCCTCTTGGCCGATCCCGAGTGTTTGGCCTGATGCAATGGATCGTACATCCCACGCGGCGGGCCCACTTGGATGGCCGCGGCGGCTGCTAGGTGGTTAGCGCGGATACTAAGGGGTTAGAGGATTTAGTATGTACGTACACGTGAATTGTAAGTAGGTTATAAGTGTTGTAAGTAGGATGTAAGTTGTATAACCAGCTACAACTGGTTAGTAGGAGATACTAACCACTTATAGCTGGAGGCTTACCTTGCTAAGTCTCTAGTAGAGGTTAGCTCGCTAAGTCCCCACTCCTAGCTACCACTTACTAACCACTTAGTAACCACTTAGCTGCCACTTAGTAACCACCCAGTAACCACTTACTAACCACTTAGTAACCACATAGTAAGTCCGCTAGCTAGCTTACTTACTAAGTGGTTAGCGGACTTACGAAGTGGTTAGCGGACTCTGAGAAGGAGAAGGAGGAGGAAGAGGAGGAGGAGGAGGAGGAGGAGGAAGAGGAGGGGGAGAGAGGAGGAGGAGGAGAAGGAGGAGGAGGAGGAGGAGGAGGAGAAGGAGGAGGAGATGTCGAGGAGGAGGAGGAGTAGGAGGAGGAGGGGGAGGAGGATGAGGAGGAGGAGGAAAGGGGGAGGCGGCGGCGGAGGCGGCGACGGGCGCGCCTCAGCCCAAGACGACCGCTCGACGCGGCGGCCCTGCAGGGCCGCCGCGTCGAGCGGCAGCCTGGCGCGGCTGAGCGCGGCGCAGGCGAAGTTCGCCTGCGCCGCGCTCTGCGCCGCCATCTCCAGCGGCATTGCCGCTGGCGCGGGCGGCGGGGGGGGCCCCGCGCGCCGCTCGGCAGCCAGAGCGGCCCACCGCACGTAGCCGTCGTCCACAACCCAGAGGGTTGGGAGACGACGACGTGCGACGGGCCGATGGCTGCCGAGCCCGTCCCACCCCTCGGGGATGTCGAGGAGGATCCCCGACATCCCCGAGGGGTCCTCCGAGAGGAGACTGCCCCATGGCTCGGGGTCGCCATCGAAAAACATGTCTTGATATGTTTTTCGATGGCGATCCCGAGCCGCGAAGCAAAGGGAAAAGGGAGGGCGCGCCCCCGCGCGGCCTGTAAGCCGCACGCGCGCGGGCGGCGTCTCCTCCTCCCCCTCCTTCTATCCTCCTCCTCCTATCCTCCTCCTCCTCCCTCTCCTGCCTCCTCCTCCTCCCCCTTCTCCTCCGCCTCCTCCTCCTCCTCCTCCTCCTCTCCGCTCCCTCCCTCTCCTCTCCGTCCTCCTCCTCCTCATCCTCCTCCTCTCCTCCCATGGTCCTCCTCTCTCCCTCATCCCCCTCCCCTCCTTCCCCCTCCTCCTCCTTCCTCCTCCTCCCCTCCTCCTCCTCTCTCCTCTCCTCCTCCGCTCCTCTAGCTCCTCGTTCTCTCCTCCTCCTCCTCCTCCTCCTCCACCGCCTCCTCCTCCGCCTCTCTCCCTTCCTCCTCCTCCTCCTCCTCCTCCTCCTCCTCCCCCCCCCCCCCCTCCTCCTCCACATCCTCCTCTCGCTCTGAGCTATCTCGTCGTTTTCCTCCTCCTCATGCTCCTCCTCCTCCTCCTCCTCCTCCTCCTCCTCCTCCTCCTCCCCCTCCCCCTCCTCCACCCTCCCCCCCTCGTCAGAGGAGGAGGAGGAGAGGAGAAGGAGGAGGGGGAGCAAGATGAGGAGGAGGAGCAGCAGTAGGAGCAGGAGGAGGAGGGGGAGAAGGGGGAGGATGAGGGGAAGGAGGAGTTTGAACGACCGCACCACTGATCAACGACATTAGCGCTGCAGCGCAAGAGGAGGCGGATGAACGAGGCGGAGAAGAGGAATCGGCGACCATGCACTGTTCAGGTGCTGCAGCACCGAAGTGTCAATGAAAAAGGTGCGCTACAGCGCCATGCAGAAGGAATCCACGTTTTCAAGGCGGAGAAGAGGAGTCGTCGACCATGCAACGTTCAGGTGCTGCAGCACCGAAGCATTTAGCAATGTAAAAAAGTGCGCTGCAGCGCCAGTAAGGAACCCACGTTTTAAGCTAAAGCGCACCACCGCGGCTGCGACCATATCGGGCGCGCCACTCGGACGCCGCCGCCCTCGCGCGGCGCCCACGCGAGCGAGCACACGATGCTCGCCGTGTGCGCCCAAAAGGCGTCGGCATCGCCGCCAAGCACGCGCGCGGAGGCGCGCGGGTGCAGCTTCTCCTTGAAGAAGTAGGGCAGGACCAAGCTCAAGCCATAGTAGTGGCCGTTCTTGGTGAAGGAGAGGTGTTTCAACACCTCGGCCGCAATGTGTTCCCCTCCTCCGTCCTCCAACAGCACGACGTCGCCGTATTTGACGTCGTGGTAGCGGCACCGCGCTGCAGCGGACGTAACAAAGTCCGCAGGCCCGAACTGCTGCAGCAGTTCGCGCGAGATGGCCTTGGACGGCCTGGTGGCGTTAACCAGGCAGTTAACCTTAAAGGTGTCGCCATCCATGAGCTGCCACAGGTGCCGCTCGGTGACGCTCTTCAGGACATTGGCGTCCCAGCCGCTGGAGGCTGCAGCCCCCACCTGAAGAGCGTTCGCAAAGCGCTTGCTGGTCTTGTGCTTGCGCTCCAAAACCCAGCACGACGGCAGCGCCACATGGCCCCAACGCCTCACGTAGTTGGCGAAGTGGTGCAGGTAATGGAACTTCTGCGCCATCGTTTCCTTGCCAAAGACGCTGCTGTATGACAGCAAAAACCTGTTAACCGCAGCCTGCAGCTTATCCGCGTCTGCCTGACGCCTGGATACTCGTAGGATTTCTTCCGCAACGATCGTGTGCGCCTCGAACACTGCGCAAGCCGATCGGACTGCAGGCGCTGCAGCGTCGCTAGCCACCTCCCTGAAGAAACACGTCAATCCGCCCGCGCGAACGCATGTCCGAACAAGAGGGGTGCAGTACATATCCTACAGAAATCCACGTGCGCTGCAGCGCATGTATTATTGGTCTGGCGGGGGCGCGAAGCATGCAATGGTACTTGCATGGTTGTGAGCCCCTCGCTGGTGGTACACTTGAAATGCTTGCTGTCAACGTGGGACCTCACGCGCTTCTCGCCGAAGATCGCGCACGTGTCGGGGGAGATGGAGTGGCACCCTGGAAACGACCAGTCCTGGAAATATGCGCCTGCGCGCGCCCAGTAACCCTTCAACCTTCGAAACATTTGGAACACCAGAATGTTATATGTACCGTTGACGAAAATACAATGCATCCAATCAAACATGACTGTCTCGAGCGGCTTGAGTTTCCGAACCCGCCCAGGCAAATGGGGGCCCCAGTTCCAGCCAAGTCGGCGCTCCAACTCCTGGAACCCGCCCTTGTTCATGATGTTGACCCCTTCGATCAATCCGTTGCAGATGGCATCGAGCAACGGCGCCGTCATCGGCTGCAGCCGCGACGCATCTGGTTCCGAGTGGTGAACAGCGACACCCGTCGTACCAGAAGCAACTATATCCCGAATTTCGCCCTTCAAGAACACGTTGCGGCACATAAAACATGGTTTGATTCCTGACGAACCTTTCATTCCGATCAAGCGGTGTATTGCATCCTCGCCCGCGATCCGACAGAGCCGCTGCAGCGACGCAAGAAGGCGTAATGGATATATACATGTGCACATGTATGCTAACTAATCTTGGGTGCTGTGCGGCGACCGCTGCAGCGGCTGCGTGTAAATTCCGAGGTCCATCTGGATGAGCTCCGTCGCGCCGTCGGGGCGCAGCCGCAAGCTGATGCCTGCGCTGAAGTTGTGCCCCTGATCAGGCCAGAACTGCGCGACCCAGTAGCATCGTCAGTCCGTGCGGCTGGATGTCGCTCGCGGTCTTGGCCCGCGTCGTCGCGAGCTGGAACCACG